AGTCAAGAAATTACAATCAATATGACTAAAGTTAAAGTCTCCTAGAATTACTACATTATCGTGCCTTGTGGCCTTAACAATTTCCTCCCATAGTAGTCTCCCTTGGTCCCTATCTAAGTTTGGGGAATGGTATATCACTCCTAAAATCAGTTTTTCATGCCCCTCTGAAAATTCTATCCAAACAGACTCTGTATGTGTTACTTCAGACTTAATACCAGTTTTTATGCAACAGTTCAAGCGATCTCGGACATACAATGCCACCCCACCCCCCTTCCCGATACTTCTATCTACTTGGAACAATTTTCTCAAGGACCCCAATGGAAATAAGTAAGGACCCCAATGGAAATAAGTCACTCTGTCTGACTTTTTTGGGTTATCCTAGGTTCTCTACACATATGCTGCTATGTATGATAATTCTATGTAACTGTATTTGTGTATACCTGAATAAACTTACTTACTTACTAAAACCCTGAATGTGACATTCCGCAGGCATGTCCCGACTTTTTGAATTAAACCACGTCTCAGTTAAGGCAAATACATCAATGTTACCTGCACTAGCAACTAATCTCAACTCGTCCATCTTATTCCTAGCACTACGGCAATTAGCATAATAAACCTTGAAAGACTCAACTTTCTCTTTACCCTTCCTGCTCATTTCTGTTTTTCTACTAAATCTATTACTGTCCTTATCACCCAAAGTCCCTGGCTTTTCAATATCTACCTCGTTCTGTTTATTACTAGTTCCCCTAGAACTCGTAATATTACTACACTGGGACTTCACTGTTTTCCTGCCAAAACCCATACCACTAACTATTCCTAGTTTAAAGTCCTAACTGCTCCCTCCACTGCAGTTGCCAGTGCTACCACCCCAGACCTAGATAAGTGAACCCCATCCCTGGCATTCATGTCATTTCTGCCATAGAAGAGGTCCCAGTTGTCAATGAATGTTACCGCATTTTCCTTACAGTATTTGTCCAGCCAGCAATTGACACCAATTGCCCTGGACAACCATTCATTTCCAACTCCTCTCCTTGGCAAAATACCACATATGACAGGGTTCCCACCCTTACTCCTAATTATTTCTATTGTTGACCTATATCTGCTAATCAGGTCTTCACTCCTACATCTGCCAACATCGTTGCCTCCAGCACTGAGACAGATAATAGGATTGCTCCCATTACCTCTCATGATGTCATCCAGACAGCTAACAATATCCTCCATCCCAGCCCCAGGAAAGCAAACTCTCTGTCTCCTACTCCTGTCCTTCAAGCAGAATGCCCTATCCATATACCTAACTTGGCTATCCCCAACAACAACAATATTCTTACCTTCCTTGGTGTCGTTCGTCGTGTTGTTCCCAGTAGTCGACTCACATTCGTCGGGTAGCACTGAGAATGTATTAGATGTTTCCACAACAGTTTCCACGGCAGTCTCTTTCTTCTTCATCGTTTCTACCTTTCCATTCGTCCTCTTGATCGTCAACTTCGTTCCCTGCTGTCCAGCCACTGACCAGTTTCCCTTCTTGACCTGAGGACTCAAAACAGGAGGACTACTACGAATCTTCTTCTTTTCCTCGGTCAGTCGCCGAATCTCCACCTTCGCCATCCTCAATTCTTCTTTAAGCTGTTGGTAAAGTTGCTCGATGGAGGGCATCTTGCTTCAATTCGTAGAGCGCGCGCAAACAGGTCTTCACAGAGCTAAGTACACGTCAACACTGAGCTAAGTACACGTCAACACCGAGTCCCAAACTGGTGCTGAATACTCCGGTATGGGCCTGACATACACGGTGTACAGAGTCTTGAAAGATTCCTTACTTAGGTATCAGAACGTTACTCTTGGGTTTGCCTTGCACACATGCTGCAGCAGTTATCTGGCTGATGTGTGCTTCCAGAGACGTGGTCAGCGTTATACTCGCCCCAAGATCTTTCTCCTTGAGGGAGGTTTGCAGTCTTTGGCCACCTAGCCTATACTCTGTCTGCAGTCTTCTTTACCCTTCCCCGATCTTCATGACTTTGCATTTGGCGGGGTTAAATTCAAGAAGCCAGTTGCTGGACCAGGTGTCCAGGTCTCTCCGAAGTCCTGCCTGATCCTCATCTGATTTAATTCTCCTCATTAACTTCACATCATCTGTGAACAGGGACACTTCTGAGTCTATCCCTTCCATCATGTCACTCACATATACCAAAAATAGCACTGGTCCTAGGACCGACCCCTGTGGGACCCCGTTCATCACAGGTGCCCAGTGTGATGACTCGTCGTTTCCTCCTTGTCAGGTATTCTTTGATCCACTGCAGTGCCCTTCCTGTTATACGTGCCTGATCCTCTGGTTCCTGCACTAATCTCTTGTGAGGAACTGTGTCGAAGGCCGAATTGCAGTCCAAATGCAATCAGTTTGTGTGCGGCCAACAGTAACAGCCTGGTTTATCAGGCCCTGATCTGCTACAAGGCCTAGTCATGGACCAGGCTGTGGGGGCATTGACTCTTGAAACGAAAGACCCTCCATGTAAGGTGACCCAATGATGGGGAAGCCTCAGTGATGGTGGTGGTGATCAAGGCTAAATTGGAAAACTCAAAAATTCTGACATTATAAAACAATAGAAAAATAAATCTCAGACAGGATTATGGCTTCCATGATGCTGTGGTGTTCACAAGAAAGGGGCAGTGCCTAGCTTCTCCTTGGAACAAGAACTTTTCACTGGCATCAATGTGCTCCACTTTCAACATATTTTTCAAACAAAGCCAATAGTATAGAAAAAGCAGTTCATTACAAATTTGCAAACTAAAATAAAGCCAAGCAGCAGCTGTAAAACTGTTTGATATAAATTGATGCTGAAATAAAATGGAGACATTATAATAATGATAACTAAGTGCTAAACTCACAAGGGTCACAGAGCTACGGAAATTAATACTTGCAATAATGTGTCAGAGGCGAAAAAATGTGCAAGCTATTGAAGATGAAGAAGCCGTCATTTGAATTAATAATCTTTATATCTGGATATTATTACATAATCTAGAGAATACACTACAATATATGTAACTGCAATGTGTACGAAAGACTTCTTCATTACCTAAACTAAATACCTATATGAAGAATGAGAGTAACAGCTGAGTCACTAATGAAGGTGTGACCAAGCAAGGTACAACTTACACCTCCAGTTTATCAATACATATTAGATGACTATTTGTAACTAATTACAGTAATAATGTAAATAACAGTGAATGTAAATATACGAAAGTATTGAATACACGTCACGCGTAAAACCTCAAATATCCAAAATAATGATCAGTTGTTTGATTTTGTGGTCGACTAATTATTTATGTGTTGTTGTTGTTGTTAAGACTGAGACGGTCCTAGCAGTGTCAGGCTCCAACACTTGATGACAACCTCTCTTACCCTCTTGTCGAATTATGTCATTTTTTTCCTCTATAATCTACCATGTCTATAATTACTATCACATTTGCTTTGTTTACTTTCGTAAGGTGAAGTCCAGGATCTTTCCTTAATTCATGGTATAACTTAACAAGTCTTTGATGACAGTTGTGTTGTACAGGTCTGAGCTAACTCAGACCTCTGCAACACAACTGTTCTCAAGTAACTTTATTCAGATATACACAAATAGTTACATAGATTATAATCTATGCTTCTATATATGATAATTATCATATACAGCAGTATATGTGTAGAGAACCTGGGATAACCCAAACAAGTCAGTGACTTATTTCCATTGGGGTCCTTTTAATACCTTATATTATACTATAAAGGAGATAATATCTTATTATTATACTATAAAAGGAGATATACTAGGAATAAGGTAAAATGAGTTATTTATATTTACATGCATGTTAGCTAAAAAAAACAATAAAAAAATCATTCTCCTCCCTTCTGTTACTACATTCATTAAACAACTTTCGGTTCTCTTCTTGAACTAAAAGATTTGTTAAGTTATACCATGAATCAAGGAAACATCCTGGACTTCACCTTACTAAAGCACAGAGCAAATGTGATAGTAATTATGGACAAAGTAGATTATAGAGGGAAAATAAACACGATATTAGGAGACAAGGAAACTCACGCGCCTCTTAAATATACAAATATAAATACACATTTATTTCTTTTCTGTAGTATATGGTGATGTAGTTAACGGGTAATAAAATATTGTTAACACAAAAGAAGGCCTCTAACATGAGACGCATTTCGGGCAGACTAATTCTAGTGTTTAAAGACTACTTAACAATTTGTAATAGACTATTAAGTCGTTTTTCAATGTACAAAAAGAGAGGTAGCTAAATGAACAATAGAACAAATTTAAGTATGCATTAATATTTCAAACTAAATGTCACCGATCTCTGCTCAGACATTGTACCATCCTCAAACAATCTTTAAAATCTTCAATCTTTATATCTTTAAAGTAGGATTTCAAAATGACTCGATTTCCTCAGGTTATGGAACGATTGAGAGATGAAGATACAGGTAGACATAAGTACAATTATCATACATAGTGTAAATTACCTAGAATAACACCCCAAAAAGTCAAAGTGACTTATTTCCATTGGAGTCCTTACTTAATTTTGAATACAAAAATGATAATGATGACACTTTATTTCTTGGAGCCATGAAAATAATGTAGTAATTACATGGATTGGTGCGTAAGTAAAATAGTAGACACAAAAGAACGCCACTAATTATGCACTACATTTCGGGCAACTAACTACATGCTATTTAACAACTAGACAGCCAATTATTTAAGTCTTCTTGTGTAGTAGTAAGTCTGTTAGGTACAGATACACATAAGTACAATTATCATACATAGTGCAAATTACACAGGATAACTCAGAAAAGTCAGACAAAGTAACTAATGATGAATGGCCACTTACAAAAGAATTACATATTTAAACTGGTTCAATAGTCTTCAGTTTTATGGCGTGGTTGAACAAAGATGGTGATGATACAGAAAGCTGCTTAAATTACAATACAAATTCAATGGAGCAATATACGTTACCAATTATATATGGGAGTTGAAGGAATGCTGGAAGAACAGGAGATAATTCAGTGAAGACAGGTATTGTCTGACAAGCGTACTGCTGTCTTGATTGCATTAAAGAGATGAAATGCTTTTTAACAGTAGCTCTGAAGCAACTGGCAGATAGGGAACCTCTGAAGACTTCAGGCAGGGAGTTCCAGATTTTAGGACCTTATAAGAGCATTGACTTTTTACACAGGTTGAGTCAGACTCGGGGGATGTTGCCAGTGTTCCGGCGAGTGATAGTACTATAGTCTTACTTTACTTACTTTATCTACACAATAAAAGATGTGGATACAATCTTAAAAAAATTTAAGTATCGTATTACTATTCAAAAACACTGGTTTATTATTGTATTCCAGTCTCATCGAACAGCAGTTTATGCTAGGTATGATAGTGGCCCTCTCTATAATTAGTATTTCATAATATGTAAATCACACAATATCCTATAATATGTAAAGTCCGCACTGTAATCCCTATAGAGAATAAATTTGATTTGATTTGCTTTGATACAGGCGAGACAGGTGGCACGGTAGGTCTCACACGGCTCCTCTAACTCTGAAGACCCTAATGGAAATAAATCACTTTGACTTTTTTTGGTTATCCTAGGTAATTTATAATATGTATAATAATTATACTTATGTGCACCTGTGCCTAACTTACTTACTACTAAGAATTACTTATGTGCAACAACTGACTGCCTTTATTATGTAGACGTTGCACTGATCAGGGTGTCTTTTAACACCCTGGAATTTCTACATGCGGCTCAACAACAATAAACCATCTCAAACCATTAATTACTCAACAAAAGGCTGCAGTCAGAATGATAACAAATTCCCACTACAGGCAGCACACTCCACTAATATTCAAAATTCTAAACCTCACCATACAAAACATCCATACTTATTACTGCACCTACTACATACATAGAACACTTAACTCTGATATTAACCCTCCCCTCAAACGTCTCCTTACCAACCTCAACAGAACACATGACCATAACACAAGGCACAGATCACTCTTTGATGTTTCCCGTGTCCATCTCACTATGCAAAAATTCAATGCACATAAAAGACCCAAAAATCTGGAATGCATTACCTGTAAATATAAAAGAAACACTGTCTGTTTATAAATTCAAGTTTCTTCTTAAAAAATCACTTACTCACCCACAACTAAATAAATACTGAATAATTGTATCTCATAAATTGTATCTCATAAATGTTTCTCATTATTGTATCTCATAAATGTTTAACCTGTGACCCAATCAAACTTTGTTATTTTTAATTACATTACCTAACAGAATACTCAATTTTACTGAATGCTCAGCAACACAATAAATGACCATATGACCTGTCTTTGTAATACTCATTTGTGCTTAATTGTTAAAAGTTTACAACAATGTTTACCACTGAATATATCATTGCTTAGTTAATCTTAAGTTAATTTTAAGCATGCCCATTATGCTCTGCATACAAGGGGCTTTGGCATGTTGCACTGTAATAACTGTATTCCTTTGTACTTCACTGTGTCATGTTCAAATAAATAAATAAATAAATAAATAAAGAAATAAATACTTGTGCCTAAATAAACTTGCGTAGTGAGAATTATATGGCAGAGGTTCTGCTCCTCCAGCTGTGTCAGTCTTCTCACCCAACAACAACAACAATAACAACAAGTGCTGTGATCTTAGTTGATATTAGTCATGAAAAGTAATTATACACAGGACAATAATTAACTTTAGAAGTGATGTAGTTTATCCATGTGTAGATTATTTTTTTTTCATTGTACCATTTCAGATAGCGGGTTATTTATCCTTTTAAGAGTTTTACATGTGATAGTTAACCAGTTGCATCATCCAACTCGGAACAAACATTAAAGTCATTTTCATTATTCTGTAAAGACATTTATATTGTTTTTGCAGGTTTGCGCTACAGCGCTGTTTGGATTAAAGAAAGATGGTGGTTATGTGGTCAGCGAGTCTTCCATCATAGAGTGTCAGCATCAAGTGATCTCTCATGTCCTCCAGAGACAAACGACTCTACTATTTCCTCTCCATTAATTATAAGTGCCAACAGAACCCATGATTCACAGAGAACAATACCATATATACGAACAGCTCTGGGTGTAGGGGCTGGATTTTTAATTGGCGCTACAATAAAGGCCATTTATGACAGTATATCAAAACCTAATGAACTATTTCAAGGAATCCCTTCTGTTTGTGCTGCAAGTCCTTTCTCAGTGGTTGTGCCATCAGACACTCAGGATCAGCCTTCTCAACCACTACCACCTGTCAGCAAGAGACAGATTTACAATTTCATTGCAGATGCTGTTGAAAAAGTGTCAGACAAAGTTGTTTATATTGATATCAAAGATAGCAGGAGGTATTATAAATTCAGTTTTTAATACAATTTCTTTAATAATATTTGCTGATATCTTGGCTTTTGTGTGTGTAGTTATCTTTCTTATTACTTTATTACTTATTTTTAGATATAATAGCAGAGCTATACTCATGGTATCTTTTCTTTAGTATTTAGTTTATTATTTAATTTTAAATATTTTCCCACAGTTGCAGCACTTACTGCTTCCTCTTGCATCACATTTCAGTATTCTATCACTATACAGTATGGGAAAAAACTTAGTAATCTTGTGACATATATTTTTGTCTTCACTTGTAGTCTCTTTCTTTTTGTTAGTACTAGTTCCAAGATGTCTTGTCTTTATATATTTTAAAGTACCACTGTACAATAACTCGTGCAGTTGTAATAACACTATTGTAAACAACTTGGGGAATGGTTGGTAGTCAAACCCATGACAAGCCACTTTTATTACTCTCAGTTTTATAACTGAGAGTAATAAAGTGAAATTTTTTATTTTAATTAATACAAAAAGTAAATACGTACAGTTAATTTTTTATATAATAGACCAATTGGGGTATTCTCCAAGTGTCCGTTAAATTAAAATAATGTTAGAAAAAGCACTAGAGTATGCTATATATATACCTGATATAGCATATCTTTTACACACAGTTTATGGTTATTCTGTACTGCAATAAATATTGAATATAAATAGTTTAAAAGTTCAATTTATCCAGAGGATTTTTTTCTGTTATTTCAGAAGTTCATTTTGTCGAGGGTTAACTGTATGTGCCTTTACCTTATTTTATCTTAGTACTTTTTATATAATTTCCTAAATAAAATAGAAAAAAAAAAATTTTACATGGGTGAAATTTTACTAGTAATTTGTTCCAATGTAGTTTTCTAAGAAAAGCTGTCTTGTAGAGTGAATATTAATGTGTGTGAATGCTTCGTTTGTTAAGTATGTTTACCATAATTTTGTGTAGGGGGATGTATGTGTGTGTGTTGCTTGGTTCTTGAGTGAAAGAATATTCTTATAACATTGTATCATTTATGATTAAATTTTTCTAAATATTATGTAGTTTGCATGTATACATATTACCATATTGTAATTCTATTCCAGATGCAGTAAATATTTTTTACAGGTTCTGAGAAACTTAAATTATTTATTTTTAAATATTCTTTTGAAACCATTATTAATTTTAACTGTCCTTCCTCATGACACTTAATGTGAAATAAATTTCTTGCAGGAGGTACGGTGGCAAGAGAATTCAGACAATATCCAATGGATCTGGTTTCATTGTTTCAGAAGATGGTCTTATTCTTACCAATGCTCATGTTGTCACCAATAGGCCAAGGTCAAGCATGGTTGTGGTAAGAAAATAAATATTATTAATTTAATATTTCCTCCGTGTTAAAATTTATAATGAAAAACATGCAGTAAGGCCATGAAATTAAAAATAATATATAATATGATAAATGCAAACACTGATTATTATTTTATACAGTACATACTGTTTTCAAATAAAATAATTTGCTGTCATGAAAATTCATTCTGACAGGCTTTTCTTTCTGCATTTGAGTCCTGGTGACTCACTAGGAGCACAAATAGCTTGCAAACACACCTCTGCTTACTTATAAAAAAAAAAAAGGCACCCTCCCCCTCTGGTCCTCCAAAGGAGGTTCCAGATGCTGGTGAAGGGCTCTTGATCTAGAGAATTGAACCTGTGCTCCAATTCTTTGAATCAGACCTGAATGCCTTCATGCCTTCTGTTCTGCCCCTTAAGAGGTTTCTTAAGGCAGGTAAGGCACTCTTGATCCAAGGAATTAAACTTAAATTTTCTTTCCTTGGATCAAACGTGACCCTTGTCAGTTTAGTGCTTTATTTGCTCATAATATTAAGATAATAATTGGATCAAACATGAATTCCTCATGTTTTCTCAGGTGCTGTATGACTGCTACAGGTTTAGTGCTCCTCCATAAGTGTAATAATGCCTTCCTTTCCACCAGACACTCTGTGGCCCTTACAGATTTAAGTGCTCCTTGCCCATGAATGTAATAATTAAAAATGTACCAATCTGCTATTTCACATTAATGATGTTAACGTATTGGCATGCTTCCTTGTTAGCTGCTGTCCAACAGGAATGTGTATTCTCTCATTATCCTCATCCATCTAATAATAAAAATTGAGCCATCTGCAGCATTTGCTTAAGAATTCCCTGTACTGGTTTGGGCATTGTGTTTGTTGCTCCTTGGCTCTTTTAAAAATCAAGTAAATGTGCAAGCATATTCAATCACAGAAGTAGAAAAATTAAATAAAAAAGATAAAGGAAAAAAGTAGAATAAAAAATAAGTGTACAGCATACTGAAGTAAGGATATAGGGATCTTGAAAGCTTGGCAAATCACCCTTTTATGCAGTATGACTATAACATCATTTGAATATACTGGTATTGTAAATTGATTGATTGGCTTAGTTCTCTGGCACTGCAACAACTAGGTTATTTGTCAAGTTGAATAGAAAGCATTTTCATTAGTTATTCAATAAGTTTTACCTAGCTAAATGAAGTTCACTCATTTGCTACTGTAAATAAACCACTACTGGCATATTCCTTTTACTTGTTTATATGATTGCTCGAACAGCCGTAATTATGTTTCATTTGTATTTAGTTCTTATTGCCAATCAGTAGCTCCATATAGGGGTGCAAAAGTAAGTCATTTGAAAATTTAAAGGTGGTATCAATAGCTTTAACTTACCCCAACTCTGTCTGCAAACAAAAAATAAGTAATTATGTTAAAAATTACCTTTGATTTAATATGCATATGTTGTATGGTCATCTGACAGTTAAAGATTGACAATGGGTGGCAACTAAAAAAGTATAGGAATTCTTGCTACATATGCTGAATTGCACTGTGTATGTGAAGATATTCATAAAGTTAAAAAAATTAAAAGGCATACATGAAGCTAAAAAAAAGACAGCAGTCACTTTATCATTCTTCTCTAATATAAAAAGTAATGTACGTACAGTATTAGGAAATACAGTAATTCCGTGTACAAATTTGAATCTATTTTGTAGGTACGACTTCAAAATGGCAAAGAATATGAAGGCATTGTGGAAGACATAGATGCTCTCTCTGATTTGGCTCTAATTAGAATAAAGTGTGTAAGTACCAAATGTAGCATTTCTTATTATTACTGTATATGGAATACTAATTTTTTTCCTGTTTTTTTGTCAGTAGTTTTTGTCTTTGTTTCACCTCTTATTATTAATAATTTTTTGCAGTAATTAACAGCTGCACTTCAGTGAATCAGGTTCATAATTTAAATAAATCTCCCTGTTACTTTTCTCATATATTGAGACAATGCAGAAAACCCTCAATTTAGTGATGGTTTCATAAGAACATAAGAAAGGAGGAACACTGCAGAAGGCCTACTGGCCCATACAAGGCAGGTCCTTATCAAAACGACCTCTACCCAAAGCTACCCAAGAATTAACTCCCGTACCCAATGACACTAATCAAACCCAGCCCCTTCCACTCATATATTTGTCCAATCTCTTCTTAAAGCTACCCAAGGTCCTAGCTTCTATCACTGTCGGAATTCCTGGTCTGTAGAGGGATTTTAGAATAGAGGTTTTCATTGGTAAGATTTTACTTTTTAGAATGTTAACCCTTTCAGGGTCCAGAGGCCAAATTTCAAAGTGCGCACCAGGGTCCAAGAATTTTAAAAAAATAATTTTGTTGTTTTTTCTTACAAAATTTGATAGAAAATTGATGAAATTATGCTCTCGCGAATTTTGATGTGTCAGCGATATTTGCGCATCAGCAATTTTGCCACCTTTGACTCCCATTTTAGGCCAATTACATTATTCCAGTCGACCAAATTCTTAGCTATTTCACTAGTATTACATGTACTTCTATTTTATTGATTGAGCACAAGAAATCGCCAAGTCAACTGTTTCAACTACAAAATAAAGTGATCGGAAATTGGTAATTTGGCCAATTTAATGCAAAGTTCAAAATATTCCAATTTCAAAATAGGGTCCAGAATAAACATTGCAGGCATTCCTTGCACTAAACTAACATTTCCTCTGTTCATTAGCTATGTTTTCAGGCTTTACAAATGAATTCCATTTTGATTTTTAATTCACAATGAATTTTTATTCAAACCAAAAACTGGAACATTTACTGTTATGCAATATTGTAATAATTGTATAAATAATATCAGCACATTTGTGAATGTATATTAGACCCACCAGCTGGCATGTATTAGACCTGTGAGGTCATTTGTTTACTCTTGAACATCGGCAAAAATTTAACATTTCCACTACTTTGAGCTTGGTTTCAAGCCATTTTCAGTACTAAAACCAATCAAAATCATCTTTATTTCTGTAATACACCTACCATCCGACTTACGACCAAGCTTGGTTCCGACCAACCGCTCCTAAGTCGAAATGGACTTAAGTCGAACCTTTGAAAATTGCCGACATATTGGGTAGGGCATAATGTCAAAACTTTCCTATATAAACTACCTACATAATACTGTAATGTAATGTACAATCATTATTTCATTCTTTTTACCATAATTTACTTCTATTGTTTTTTTTTTTTTTTATGTACTGTATATAATGTATAAATGGTAGTGATATGTATTGTAAATTTTACATCGCATACAGTATCATATGTTACTATTATCTTTATGTATTGTCGACACAGTGGAATGGGAGAATACCACTGGTAGTGTCATCCTGCCAGAATGTTATGTAACCTATACCCTAAGTAAAGAGAAACAACTCTGGAACATATGTAATACGTATCCGGCTGGCTGGCTGGGTGGCCAGGTCTGTGGTTGGCCGGGTGGGTGGGTGGCTGGCTGGATGGGTGGGTTATCATACATATTATAAATTACCTAGGATAACCCAAAAAATCCAGACAAAGTGCTATACAGTGGATCTGTGCTCCAGTGCCCTAAATTAATAATAATATTAACCCTTTGAGGGTTTTCGTCGTACTAGTACGTCTTACGCGTAGGGGTTTTTGACGTACTAGTACTCATAAATTCTAGCGGCCTCAAATCTAGTGGGAGAAAGCTGGTAGGCCTTCATATGAAAGAATGGGTCTATGTGGTCAGTGTGCACAGTCTAAAAAAAATCCTGCAGCACACAGTGCATAATGAGAAAAAAAAAACTTTGACCATTTTTTTTTAATAAATCAGCGACTTTGCAGTGTATTTTCGTATGGTATTTATTGTTGTATTCTAGTTTTCTTGGTCTCATTTTATAGAATGGAAGACATATTACAGAAATTGAGATGATTTTGACTGGTTTTACAATGAAAGGTGCCTTGAAATTGAGCTCAAAGTAGCAGAAATGTTCGATTTTTACCAAACTTCAAAAGTAAACAAATCGTGCCAAGCGTGCAATACACGTCAACTGGTGAGTCTAATATTCTTTTACAAGTGCACCAATAATATTTATACCATTTTTTACACTAATGCAGTAGTCTGCATAACAGTAAATCTTATATTTTTTGTGAGAATAAAAATTCAAAGTGGAAAGCAAAAGAATATAAGAGGGCCCTTGAGACGTGACTAATGACTAGAGGAAATGTCATTTTAGTGCCAGGAATGTCTTTCTTGTTTATTCTGGACCCTATTCGGAAATTGGCATCTTTTGAAATTTGTGTGAAATTGGCAAAATTGTTAAATTCTGACCACTGTACTGGATAGTTGAATTTACAAATGGGTGGTTTCTTGCACCCATTCGATAGAAAAAATGGAGTTCTAGCGAAATATTCATGTTTTTTGTCGACTAGTACAGTGAAATTGGCCTAAAATGGGGCTCAAAGTGGGCAAAATCGCCGATGCGTAAACATCGCCGAGACCGCTAACTTTGCGAGAGCATAATTCCGTAAGTTTTCTATCAAATTTCAAACTTTTGGTGTCTTTATGATCAGGAAAAGATTCTCTATCTTTTCATAAGAGAAAATAATTTTTTTTTTTTTTTAAATTTGGCCGACCCTGAGAACGAGTTTCGGAGAGGGCCTGTCGACCCTCAAAGGGTTAATAATCATTATTATTACAATAATACATATGTACTAATATTAATATTATTATTATTAAGCTATAATATAATAATCGTGTCCACTCATTGCTTACCTTAAAATATCTAGTTTTAATGTAGAGTGAGAGGTGAGTAAACAAGATTAAATGAATAAATGAGAGAGAGAATGAGAATGTAGAATGTTCACGAGTTGTGTAAACAAACGTTGTTGTTGTTGTTACCAGCCCAGACATGAATGATTCCTGTTCACTGTCAAGCCGACTAGAAAAACATCTCATATTTGTTAATTTATATGTTATGTAGCATGTTTATTATATAATTTTGAAAAAAAATCATAGATGGATTAAGCAAAATGTCTATACAGTAGACCTCCGCAAAACGATCACCTCCCAATGCGACCAATTATGTAAGTGTATTTATGTAAGTGCGTTTGTACGTGTATGTTTGGGGGTCTGAAATGGACTAATCTACTTCACAATATTCCTTATGGGAACAAATTCGGTCAGTACTGGCACCTGAACATACTTCTGGAATGAAAAAATATCATTAACCGGGGGTCCACTGTATTAACGTTTTATACACATTTAATGCGCCTCAATGATTATTATTATTATCATTATTAATATGGTGTCTTCAAGACCAAGTACACTCTTAATGAATGGCTCTGAGGCAGACAAGCAGACAAAGACAGACACACAGGTAGACAGAAAGACAGACACACAGGTAGACACAGACAGACACAGGTAGACATAAAGACAGACACAGGTAGACATGAAGACACACAGGTAGACAGAAAGACACACAGGTAGACAGACAGACAGACACACAGGTAGACAGAAAGACAGACACACTAGTAGACAGATAAACAGACACACAGAGATACAGACAGATATACAGGCAGACAGATACAGACAGGTTTATGTGCAAGATTCAGACTTCATCTTAGGGGCCATGGTGAAATTTACTGTCCAGTTAGTACAGTTAATACAGTATGATGCTGCTGATAGGACAGGGTTACTCAAACTGATGCTGCCTGCATGACGCATTGCCGCCGCGAGTATTGTCAAATATTGTACAGCAGTGTGCATCAGCCGGCCCAGCCCAGCTGCCAGATGCACGGTCGTAAGTCGAGCGGACGTATGTCGAGCAGGTCGTAAGTTGGATGGTAGGTGTATATCTTTCATTCTATCAAATGAGACCAAGAAATCGCAAATACAACTATAAAAAACATACGGAAAAACACTGCAAAGTCACTGTTTTAATCGAAAATTACGGTCTCAGTTTTTTCTCTCATTATGCAGTATGTGCTGCAGGATTTATTTTATGTAGTGCACACATACCACATAGATGTATTCTCTCATATCTAGGCCCAAATTTCCCGCTCATAGCTTATCAGAGTGAGCTGAGCTCATGGCGTAGATCTACGGTTTGGACCCTCAACGTAAAGCCGTAGATCTACGGCACAGACCCTGAAAGGGTTAATATATGTTGATATTTTGCCTTCCACTTAATGGTAAAAATGTTCATTGAACCCTTTCACTGATGCAACCCATGGAATTAAATCTCGGTAAGAAGATATGGCTATGAACTTAGATGATGAGTTTATATGCATATTGTGGATATTACTCAGAGCTTCAAAACTGTAATGGTGGTATGTGATGAATAAAGTTTACTTGACTGCAACTACAGTGCAGAAATGATACTTTAAAGATTTAATTTTCTAAATGTAAATGACTGATTTTTCTTCAGAACAATCTCACTCCTATAACATTTGGAACATCAAGTAGTGTAAGACCAGGGGAGTTTGTTGCAGCCTTAGGATCTCCATTATCACTGTCCAATACCATCACTGCTGGAGTGGTCTCTTCTGTCGGCCGTGGCAGCAAGGAACTTGGTTTGAGAGGAAAAGATATACAGTATATACAAACTGATGCCACTATTACTGTGAGTAATTTTAGTTGTTGGTGCAACTTTCTTGATGTGTAAATTGAATGTTATAGCATTAATAGAAAATGCACTTTATAGTGAAAGGATGTGTAATTTCCTATTTGTAGTTGGGTTTTTGTAGTTAAAGTAGCAGAGCTAAGCTTATGTTACCCCACTGTCAAAGTTAGTTTGTCATAATTTTTGAAAGTTACCAGCAGATGTAGCATATTACCTCCTAGATCCCATTCCCATATTCTATCACTTTATAACTAAAACCTTTCTATTATTATTTTGTCAATTTACACCAGTCTTTCTGTTGACGAAGCTTTGGGGTTCGACTTGGCTGCAAGGGCTGGGTGGGAATGCGGTTGCCAAGCTTGTGATACTTTGAATCACTTTCAGCATCATGAATCTTAATGATATCAGATAGTAGCTAATTACCATGGAAAATAATTGCACTCCTTTAACCCTTTGACTGTTTACGCCATATATATACGTCTTACGCGCCACTGTTTCTGACGTATTTATATGCATAAATTCTAGCGGCTTCAAATCAAGCAGGAGAAAGCTGGTAGGCCCACATGTGAGAGAATGGGTCTCCATGGTCAGTGTGCACCATATAAAAAAAATCGGGGAGCCAGTGGTGCAATGTGGGAATGCCATTTCAGTTGTCCTTTTTCAGCATGTCTAGTGGTAAGAAATATGTGATTCCCCAGCAAATTTGGGACTCTTCTCATCCCAAGTGATGCTCTAACACAGATGGAAGTGTCAGTGAAGATCAATTTCATGATTTGGAGGAGTTTGAGACCAAAAGCAATAGAGGAGGAGGAGGAAGAAGAGGAGGAAGAGGGGAGGAAGAGGAGGAGGAGGAGGAAGAGGAATAGGAGGAGGAAGAGGAAGAGGAGGAGAAGAGGAGGAGGAGGAAGAAGAGGAGGAAGAGGGGAGGAAGAGGAGGAGGAGGAGGAAGAGGAATAGGAGGAGGAAGAGGAGGAGAAGAGGAGGAGGAGGAAGAAGAGGAAGAGGAGGAGGAGGAAGAGGAGGAGAAGAGGAAAAGGAGAAGAGGAGGAGGAGGAAGAGGAGAAGAGCAGGAGGAGGAGGAAGAGGAAGAAGAAGAAGAAGAAGATGTAATAATATTGTTCCCTTGAAGCAAGAAAAAAAAAGTCCACCCCATGACAGTGACAAGATAAGGGGAGATAACATCTGATAAGAGCTGACTTTGATGAGCGTAAACGAGGGTGGAGCTGATAAGGAAAGATTAGATGACCATGGCCCTCCCTTTGTTTTTGCTGGTACACAAACATTTGTCTGTCTATTTGTCTGTCTGTCAAACTCCCTGTCTATCGGTCTAGCTCTCTGTCTCAGAAAGAGCCACAAGACTGCGTCATCAGGTAAGTAGGATGGAAGGAATGATGACACACGACCGATATGTTGTGTATCTTTATTCGTATATGCTTCTAAACTGTTGTATTCTGAGCACCTCTGCAAAAGCAGTGATAATGTGTGAGTGTGATGAAAGTGTTGAATGATGATGAAAGTATTTTCTTTTTGGGGATTTTCTTTCTTTTTTGGGTCACCCTGCCTCGGTGGGAGACGACCGACTTGTTGAAAAAAAAAAAAAAAAAAAACTACATAACACAACTGCCTGCTAATACTTTGCAGAAAACTGCTCAGACAAGGTGTTTTGTCTTTGCACATAAAAAAAAAGTCCACAAAAATGCACACACACTGGTTTTATATATATATTATAGAACAATAGTAGTAAACAATTTTTTGTATTGTTTGTTTTTGTAAACAAGTTTTGTAAACAATATGTTTGTGTGCTTATTGTGTTGTATAAAACGAGTGTATATATGTACATTGCACCTTACTTTGGTCTCACAGGCCACATAAGTTATGTGAAAAAATAAAATAGTGAAAAAAAACAAAAAACCTTCAAATACAAGTAAACTAAAGTTTACCGGGTGAGCAGCAGTCGCCGGTGTTGCCATACGCGGCTCATTTTCTGCAAACTTCACAGCTCTATATCTCGGTAAGTACTGATGGCAAATTTTTTTTTTTTGGACTAAAACACTCGGAAAAATAATCTTAACATTTTCATAAGAAAAAATAATTTTTTTTTTTCGAATATTTGGCGACATAGAATGACAGTTTCAGAGAGGGGCCTGAAACAGTCAAAGGGGTAAAGATGGTCTCCATTAACACTGATAATATTTTGGCAAGTATTTTAAGAAGTCTTCTTTCTTTCTTTCAACACACCGGCCGTATCCCACCGAGGTGGGGTGGCCCAAAAGAAAAAACCAAAGTTTCTCCTTTCAAATTTAGTAATATATACAGGAGAAGGGGTTACTAGCCCCTTGCTCCCATTTTAAGAAGTATTACATGTAAAAAATAGATTGTTTTACTAATTGTTGAAGAAAAAATAATTGCTATTAACACTCACTGTAGTTGTCCTTTTTCTCATATACAGTAATTACAGGTGGAATCTGTAGTGTATCAGGATTACAGGCAAAGCCTGTAGTGTTAGGGAATGACAGGATCCTGTAATTTGTGGGAATTACAGGAGGACCCTGCTGTGTAAGGGAAGTACAGAGTCTTGTAGAGTACAAGAATTAGAGGAGCTTGAAGTGTAAAGGTGAAACAGTATTCTTCATATTGCCTGGGACAGGCACTACATTATCTGTTTTAAATTACTCTAATTACCACAAGCTCAAATATAGAACTAGCTACAAAAAAAAAAAACACAAACTCCTGGGGTTATTGAACACTCTGTTAATACATATACAGTGTACATAAATTATTCACTAAAATAGCACTGGAATTCAACTCTAAAGAGCCTGTGGCCACAGGTGAAAAGGCAGTTGCCAGGATCCATGAGACTGTTGGTGGGACTTACATCTAATGATTAATTTCCATTGATAGTAAATTAATCTGTCAAAGTAACTTTTTTTTTTTTAACAAGTCGGCCGTCTCCCACCGAGGCAGGGTGACCCAAAAAGAAAGAAAATCCCCAAAAAGAAAATACTTTCATCATCATTCAGCACCTTCACCTCTCTCATACATAATCACTGTTTTTGCAGAGGTGCCCAGATACAACAGTTTAGAAGCATATATAAAGATATATAACATATCCCTCCAAACTGCCAATATCCCAAACCCCTCCTTTAAAGTGCAGGCATTGTACTTCCCATTTCCTGTACTCAAGTCCGGCTATATAAAAATAACCAGTTTCCCTGAATCCCTTCACTAAATATTACCCTGCTCACACTCCAACAGCTCGTCAGGCCCCAAAAGCCATTCGTCTCCATTCACTCCTATATAACATGCTCATGCACGCTTGCTGGAAGTCCAAGCCCCTCCCCCACAAAACCTCCTTTACCCCATCCCTCCAACCTTTTCAAGGACAACCCCTACCTTGCCTTCCTTCCCCTACAGATTTATATGCTCTCCATGTCATTCTACTTTGATCCATTCTCTCTAAATGACCAAACCACCTCAACAACCCATCTTCAGCACTGATTAATATGTACTTTTATTAACTCCACACTTTCTCCTAATTTCCATACTCCGAATTCTCTGCATAATATTTACACCACACATTGCCCTTAGACAGGACATTTCCACTACCTCCAACTGCCTCCTTGCTGCAGCATTTACAACCCAAGCTTCATACCCATATAAGAGTGTTGGTACTACTATACTTTTATACATTCCCTTCTTTGCCTCCATAGATAACGCTTTTTGTCTCCACATATACCTCAATGCACCACTCACCTTTTTTCCCTCATCAGTTCTATGTTTAACCTCATCCTTCATAAATCCATCCACCGACACGTCAACTCCCAAATATCTGAAAACATTCACTTCTTCCATACTTCTCCTCCCCAATTTGATATCCAATTTTCTTTATCTAAATCATTTGATACCCTCATCACCTTACTCTTTTCTATGTTCACTTTCAACTTTCTACCTTTCCACACACTCCCAAACTCATCCACTAACCTTTGCAGTTTTTCTTTAGAATCTCCCATAAGCACAGTATCATCATGTTGATATGTGTGTAATATGTACTGGATAATCTGGGGTGAGTGTTAACACTTATGTAGTAAGATATTTGTTCACTCCACAAGAATCTTTCAGTTCTTTATACATAGTGCATTGTCTTCCTTTACATTTTGTTATAAAACTTAATTTTACTTTTCATATAGTTTGGTAATTCAGGTGGGCCACTAATCAACATGGATGGGGAAGTAATTGGCATCAACTGTATGACAGTCACATCTGGAATCTCTTTTGCTATCCCCATTGACTATGCTAAAGAGTTTATAACAAAGTCTGCAAAGAAAAAATCTGAGATTGGTAAGTGTATGGGCATTATAATACCTACTTGTAGTTTATGTTGCATATGGCCTAAACATATTGTTATTATTAAACATGGTTAGGGTTTCATAATTATTGTAATGCTTTGACAGTTTATGTACAGTACTGTTATGATTTTTGGAAAAATTAAGAACATTGGAAGTTGTCTTAAGCAACTTACCTTTGTGTGAGTTTAAAATGAGCATTGTTATCATACACTAGTTTGATGTGTAATAATTTAACCTAACCATTCTGCTACTATATCTCCAGAATCAAGCTATTCTGACCGCCGTCGCTACCTTGGTGTGACAATGTTAACCCTTACACAATCAATCTTGCTGGAGCTTCAGGCCCGAGGTAGTGCTCCTCAGAATGTTCCTGCTGATGTCACACATGGAATATTTATCTGGAGAATTGTTATTGGCTCTCCAGCATACCAGTAAGTATAAGAATTACTAAATAAGGCTCATAACAGGAGAAAATTAGTGTACAGCTTATAATAATGTATATCAGCTTTGTATCTGAAGTTTCCCTTCTCTCTTTAAATATATACTGTATCCATTTACTGTCATGCATTACTTATAATTAATAATTATAAAAATTATTTAACACTCTTAGTGAATTTAAAGTCATTTACAATGATATAATGTTGAATTATTTCTACATAATATATAGAAAGATATATACAGTGGACCCCCGCTTAACGATCACCTCCAAATGCGACCAATTATGTAAGTGTATTTATGTAAGTGCTTTTGTACGTGTATGTTTGGGGGTCTGAAATGGACTAATCTACTTCACAATATTCCTTATGGGAAAAAATTCGGTCAGTACTGGCACCTGAACATACTACTGGAATGAAAAAAGTTCGTTAACCGGGGGTCCACTGTATATATATTTTTTTTTTTTTTTTTTTTTTTCAACAAGTCGGCCGTCACACACACACACACACACACACACACACACACACACACACACACACACACACACACACACACACACACACACACACACACACACACACACACACACACACACACAAAAGAAGGCGTTTGACACAGTACCACACAAGAGATTAGTGCAAAAACTGGAGGACCAAGCAGGGATAACAGGGAAGGCACTACAATGGATCAGGGAATATTTGTCAGGAAGACAGCAGCGAGTAATGGTACGTGGCGAGGTGTCAGAGTGGGCACCTGTGACCAGCGGGGTCCCACAGGGGTCAGTCCTAGGACCAATGCTGTTTCTGGTATTTGTGAACGACATAACAGAAGGAATAAACTCTGAGGTGTCACTGTTTGCAGATGACGTGAAGTTGATGAGAAGAATTCATTCGATCGAAGACCAGGCAGAACTACAAAGGAAACTGGACAGGCTGCAGACCTGGTCCAGCAATTGGCTCCTGGAGTTCAATCCCACCAAGTGCAAAGTCATGAAGATTGGGGAAGGGCAAAGAAGACCGCAGACAGAGTACAGTCTAGGGGGCCAGAGACTACAAACCTCACTCAAGGAAAAAGATCTTGGGGTGAGTATAACACCAGGCACATCTCCTGAAGCGCACATCAACCAAATAACTGCTGCAGCATATGGGCGCCTGGCAAACCTCAGAACAGCATTCTGACATCTTAATAAGGAGTCGTTCAGGACCCTGTACACCGTGTACGTTAGGCCCATATTGGAGTATGCGGCACCAGTTTGGAACCCACACCTAGCCAAGCATGTAAAGAAACTAGAGAAAGTGCAAAGGTTTGCCACAAGACTAGTCCCAGAGCTAAGAGGTATGTCCTATGAGGAGAGGTTAAGGTAAATCAACCTGACGACACTGGAGGACAGGAGAGATAGGGGGGACATGATAACGACTTACAAAATACTGAGAGGTGGACAAAGATAGGACAAAGGTGGACAAAGATAGGATGTTCCAGAGACTGGACACAGCAACAAGGGGACACCGTTGGAAGCTGAAGACACAGATGAATCACAGGGATGTTAGGAAGTATTTCTTCAGCCACAGAGTAGTCAGGAAGTGGAATAGTTTGGGAAGAGATGCAGTGGAGGCAGGATCCATACATAGCTTTAAGCAGAGGTACGATAAAGCTCATGGTTCAGGGAGAGTGACCTAGTGGCGACCAGTGAAGAGGCGGGGCCAGGAGCTTGGACTCGACCCCTGCAACCTCAACTAGGTGAGTACAACTAGGTGAGTACGTACGTACACACACACGTACACACACACACACACACACACACACACACACACACACACACACACACACACACACACACACACACACACACACACACACACACACACACACACACACACACACATGGAGGGCCTGGGTTCGATTCCCGGCGGGTGGAAACATTTCGACACGTTTCCTTACACCTGTTGTCCTGTTCACCTAGCAGCAAATAGGTACCTGGGTGTTAGTCGACTGGTGTGGGTCGCATCCTGGGGGACAAGATTAAGGACTGCAATGGAAATAAGTTAGACAGTCCTCGATGACACACTGGCTTTCTTGGGTTATCCTGGGTGGCTAACCCTCCGGGGTTAAAAACCCGAACGAAATCTTATCTTTCGGGGCCAGAAGCTGAGTCTCGACCCCTGCAACCACAATTAGGTGAGTACACACACACACACACACACACACACACACACAGTGGAAACTCTACTTGCGAGTTTAATCCGTTCCATGACCTTGCTCGCAACTGGATTTGCTCGTTTGCTGAGTCAATTTTCCTCATTTAAATTAATTGAAATGCAATTAATCTGTTCCAGTGGAATTCTGTACTTCAATAATTTCGCTAATATCAACTCTACGGCTTATTTATCTATCTCGCTTCATCTAATATGACATAATAAACAATATAAATAACATAGAAACCTGATATATACTCTAAAATCAATAAAATGTCATTCATGTAGTGGTATGGGCGGTATCGGCGGTGGACGAGAGTTTGTCTGGAGACCGGGCAAAATACGTACTTCATGAATAATTTCGCTGTCATCTATACGGCTTATTTATATATCACAGTTCATCTAATATGACTTAACAAACAATTTAAATAACATAGAAATATGATATGTACTCTAAAATGAATAAAATATGTCATTATGTAACAGGTGGAGGCAGCCACAACTGCTCCCTCTTTGTTGTGGTAAACACTGCCATATAGTGATGGCCTTTTGAAGCCATCTATTATTGTAATTATATGTAGTACATTATTATTATATGTATTATTATTATACATATCTTTCTCTTTCTTTCAACACTCCGGCCGTATCCCACCGAGGCGGGGTGGTCCAAGAGGAAAAACGAAAGTTTCTCCTTTTACATTTAGTAATATATATACAGGAGAAGGGGTTACTAGCCCCTTGCTCCTGGCATTTCAGTCGCCTCTTACAACACGCATGGCTTATGGAGGAAGAATTCTGTTCCACTTCCCCATGGAGATAAGAGGAAATAAACAAGAACATAAACTAGAAAGAAAATAGAAGAAAACCCAGAGGAGGGCATGTATATATGCTTGTACATGTATGTGTAGTGTGACCTAAGTGTAAGTAGAAGTAGCAAGACATACCTGAAATCTTGCATGTTCATGAGACAGAAAAATGGACACCAGCAATCCTACCATCATGTAAAACAATTACAGGCTTTCGTTTTACACTCACTTGGCAGGACGGTAGTACCTCCCTGGGCGGTTGCTGTCTACCAGTCTACCCTACTGGTAGGGTTATTATTGAAAAAATTAGAGGCAAGACAGAATGTAGGATTGCGGATGAGCAGGGAGGTTTCAGAGTGGGTAGGGGATGTGTAGATCAAGTGTTTACATTGAAACATATATGTGAACAGTATTTAGATAAAGGTAGGTAAGTTTTTATTGCATTTATGGATTTAGAAAAGGCATATGATAGAGTGGATAGGGAAGCAGTGTGGCAGATGTTGCAAGTACACCTACCATCCGACTTACGACCAAGTTCAGTTCCGAGAAACCGGTCGTAAGTCAAAATGGTCGTAAGTAGAACTTTACTACTGAATATCAACAAAACATTTTTGTAATGACTTTATTTTATTCTTTTATTTTGGTATTTCATGTTTTACTTTACTTTTTATGTTGTTAGTACTGTATTTTAAACTGTAAGGTTTAGGATAAACACTGTGTACAACACAATTAGTTGTTTATTTCCCAGAAATTTTGCATAAAAAACACGGTCGTAAGTCGAGTGGTCGTAAGTCGAGCAGGTTGTAAGTCGGATGGTAAGTGTATATGGAATAGGTAGTAAGTTACTAAATGCTGTAAACTTTTTATGAGGATAGTGAGGCTCAGGTTAGGGTGTGTAGAAGAGAGGGAGACTACTTCCTGGTAAAAGTAGGTCTTATAAGACAGGGATGTGCAATGTCACCATGGTTAATATATTTATAGATGGGGTTGTAAAAGAAGTAAATGCTAGGGTGTTCGGGAGAGGGGTGGGATTAAATTATGGGGAGTCAAATACAAAATGGGAATTGACAGTTACTTTTTGCTGATGATACTGTGCTTATGGGAGATTCTAAAGAAAAATTACAAAGGTTAGTGGATGAGTTTGGGAGTGCGTGTAAAGGTAGAAAGTTGAAAGTGAACATAGAAAAGAGTAAGGTGATGAGGGTATCAAATCATTTAGATAAAGAAAATTTGGATATCAAATTGGGAAGGAGGAGTATGGAAGAAGTGAATGTTTTCAGATACTTGGGAGTTGACGTGTCGGTGGATGGATTTATGAAGGATGAGGTTAATCATAGAATTGATGAAGGAAAAAAGGTGAGTGGTGCATTGAGGTATATGTGGAGTCAAAAAATGTTATCTATGGAGGCAAAGAAGGGAATGTATGAAAGTATAGTAGTATCAACACTCTTATATGAGTGTGAAGCTTGGGTTGTGAATGCAGCAGCGAGGAGACGGTTGGAGGCAGTGGAAATGTCCTGGCTAAGGGCAATGTGTGGTGTAAATATTATGCAGAAAATTCGGAGTGTGGAAATTAGGAGGTGTGGAGTTAATAAAAGTATTAGTCAGAGGGCTGAAGAGGGGTTGTTGAGGTGGTTTGGTCATTTAGAGAGAATGGATCAAAGTAGAATGACATGGAGAGCATTTAAATCTGTAGGAGAAGGAAGGCGGGGTAGGGGTCGTCCTCGAAAAGGTTGGAAGGAAGGGGTAAGGGGGGAGGTTTTGTGGGCGAGGGGCTTGGACTTCCAGCAGGCGTGCATGAGCGTGTTCGATAGGAGTGAATGGAGACGAATGGTATTTGGGACCTGACGATCTATTGGAGTGTGAGCAGGGTAATATTTAGTGAAGGGATTCAGAAGAGGGATTGTTGAGGTGGTTTGGTCATTTAGAGAGAATGGATCAAAGTAGAATGACATGGAGAGCATATAAATCTATAGGGGAAGGAAGGCGGGGTACGGGTCGTCCTCGAAAGGGTTGGAGA